GTCAAAAATTCTTTCCTAATGTCAGAAGAGAAAATCTCATTTGCGGATAGAAATATGCAACTTTGTATGCTCTTTCCAGCTAGTAGTATGAGAACACTTGATAGGACCAGATAAGGTCAGATTTCGCTCTTCTGGCACCCCTAAAAACGCGTCAATTCAGAACTTATGGCCGAGAAAAAACCGTATTCGGAATAATTTTTCCATAGGCCGACAGTGGTCTTTCCATACCTTTAGTAGGACTATCGATTGCATATAATCAGACCTTCACGGCTTTAAGTCGTGTATAAAGTGGGCGGACCTGTGCGGATGTACCCCAGAGAGTTAAAACTCACAGAATTAGAAAATCTCCACGATACACCAGTTGAAAAAGTGTAAAACGATCTGGAGCAGCTTATATCAAAGCCACGCAGTGATTACCGAAATCTATTCTCTCTCGGTTTAACAGCTTTTCACAGTTATGTTAGATTCATTTGGTCTAAAAACTTTTAGTAAAAAACAAACTGTGTTAACAGTACACATTGGATCGCGAAAATTAGCGTGTGCTGCGACCAGCTCGGTTAAACGAATTAACCGGCCCAAAGAAGGGATCCACATAAGGTAAGGAATTGGCCCACTCTCTTTTTCGAGCAAAAATGGTCTCTTATGTAGTAAAAATGTACTCCTATTCGATTTCTCAAAAGATATTATTAGCTAGGTCCAGTAGTGCACTTGATAGAGAACTTGTTTGCACACCTAACGATATGCAAACGCGCATTAGAAACACTTTCTTTCTTTCTGAAAACTTTTTCTCTCCACACATCAGTTTCTGATAAAAAATGTTTTGAACAATTCGAACGAGAATTATTTTCGCCATATAGCGGAGTTATACTGTGTTTTCTTCACACTGTATAATTTTATATTGCATAAGGTTCAGTGGAAAGTAGGCTCGGTGATTCATATCTGTTGAATGTATTTTGTAAAATGATACTAATAATCACTTGAATAACATCAACACTTGAATAACGTACGCAAAACGAAGTGAGTTTTTTCATTCTTTTCATGTTTTTTTGGCGAAAAACTGTTTCTTTCTGTTGTAAGTTTTGTGTTTCTTATTACTTCTTGAATGCTTTTATTTTTGATAGAAAGAGCGTTTATACAACACTTCTTGCCATTTTTTTTCGTTTCCTTTGCAGAATTAAACTTTGAGTATGTTGAAATCGTTTTATTCAACGGATTCCGCTCATACTGATCCCGCCTGATTTATTGAAAAACTTGAATTTGGTATTTCATGAAAAAAGTCATATCTATTTTCATTTCTAGAGCTATTGCGCTTTTATTGTAGATAAAAAAATGGCTGCGGATCAGCGTGAATTTATTGAAATATACCAGTACGCCAAAAAAAATATAAATCCTGATTTAATCTATAGATCATTATTATACAATTCGAATGTTTTAACCATGATACCACCGCATGAAACATTATCCATTTTACATCATATTGTAAGTCATGCCAATTTAGATTTGTTTAATAAAGTAATTGCTATTCCAAACTTAAGATTGATTCTATTAACCAAAAGTGCAGGAAAACCATCAAAAGATATCCTCGAAATTTCACATGAGAAAATAAAAAAAAGTCAACAGCATCAAATGATATATAAAAGAATAAAAGAATTAAATGAACTAGATAAATTTGTTGAATATGCAAAACATAATCAAACTGACCAATGTAAACAAATGTTAATTCAAACGGATATGGATTTAGCTAATATGAAACCACCTTATAGAAAATATTATTTAATACATCATCTGGCTTATGCTAATAATCGTCGTGAATTTGATGAATTAAGAAATTTGGGTACATGCCATTTTAACATGTTGCTATTAACTAGTGATAATAAAACAGCAGCTGAAGTAGCATTTGAGAATCATCATCAAGATTTTGGAAATTATTTAGAATCACTCTCGCCGGAAATGAAAAAAATACGTGAAAAACATCAGGCAATACAACAATCATCAATCATAGCACAGGAAGAAGAAGAAAAATATGTTGAACAACAATTACAATCAATACAGTTACCCAATAATATGTTGTCATGTTTTACATGTCCATTAACAAAGGAATTATTTATTGATCCCGTCGTTTGTGCCGATGGGTTTACATATGAACGAGCAGCGATTCAACAATGGTTAAATGGTGGTCAGAATAGATCGCCAATGACCAATATGGAGTTATCTAACACAAATCTGGTACCGAATATTGTCATAAAATCAGCATTGGATGAATTGAGAGAGAAAGAACATCAAGTATCTCGCCTTTAGTGCTTTTATTATTCTACCAAGAGAAGATCGCCAACTGATTATGGGCAAAGGATACTGTACTATATGCAGTGGATAGCGCTGATCAAAAATCTGGTGTTTGCTGTATTTCTTTGATGATTTATTGAGCGAATTTCTAAAATCCAATGTCTCAAAATAGTCAATACTGCGTATGATTTTTTTATGCTTCCTTAAGAGGTTTACTAGCTAGTCAGCAGCCATTGGTCGATTTTTTGCAATTCGTGCTAGTATTCTTATTTTAAGGGTTTCATAACTTGAGAAGTTTATCTTAAAAAAATGAAAGCATCGAAACGCAGAGTTTATCGTTAAAAATGAGCGGTGGCTTAAGATATGGAGACATATAAGCGTAATGGCCTGAAAAATATAAGAAAGACAAAGAAAAACATAGCAAACCTTCCATTTTTTATCCCCGTCATGATGGAAGTGTGAAGAACTTTATGTCTTTACACGAACGGAAAATGTGAGAATGATTTTTTTGAGATACTGAAGTAAGAAATATAACGGACTTATCTTCAGATTGTATTGACAAGAATCTTAGCTCATCGAGAGTTAATGAAATTCTGTGATCGCTACTGTCTCCACTAGCAAGTAAAGCGATGAGTCATGTTGGACACAGCATCGACTAAAAGCTTGGAAAATTTAAAAATGAAATTTTTCTGAGATTACCATCTTGCAATGCTTATTAAAGTACCTTTGTTTATAAATTTATTTGTACGGTGCGACTCAATTGAATGTTCCCCTTTTGTATTTTTTTGTTCATATTGGTAAGCTGTACTTGCAAAATGGCAGTTACTATACAGAAAGAACGTATGAATGAGGTCACATTCCGTGGCATATTAATCTTGGATGTCAAAGAATGATTAAAAGGGAAAAAACTACAAAGCATAATATGACTTATTTATTTACTACAATATACATTTAGAACACCCTAAAAAAATATGTTTTTGCTGAATCCCGAGATACATAACAGGTTGTTTTATATCTTTATTGTTTCAGTAATAAGACCAGCGGCGAACCATTTTAGGCCATGCATAAGATAGGCTACATTTAAGTGCTTAAGTGTGACAGGTGGAAGATGAATAGTGAAATAATATATAAAAAAAGTTAAAACGTCAAGAAAAAGTGAAAATAACACAGACTAGACGGAGAGACATGGCGTGACGAATTTAAATTTTATTAAAACTTAGTAACGTACATAATAGGTTTGAACTTCAAACTTTTGTATGGTTGTAACTCTCACTGTATGCTGACCAATCAACCAGTATGGGCCTCTTTGACTGATTAATTTGTAAGATATGAGCGTTTCATCTTTTAAACTATTCGGAAACTATTGTTTCAGTCATTTGGCTAAAATATCAAAGATGTGTGATTAACGATAGGAAGAGAAATGTCAAGTACATACAATGACAGTTGTCTCGCTTCTCCATAGCCAATTTATTGAACAGGTATCTTAGGTAAATAAGTATTATTGACGATTGGATTTCTGTACATATAATCTAGAAGAAAGAGCATAACACAACAATCATCTCCAAGAAAAATAAGGGTGAAATATCTTTTTTCTTTCGAATCGAACCTTACCTGTTGCCGGATAATTTTTTGTCAATGGATCTCCATTTGTAGCTAATGTTGATCCGCGTTGGTGCCCCGTATCCGGCATTGTATTAACGTATCATAAATTGAATTTGGATACGTTTTATCTTCCGTAGTACCGTTTGGTGTATAGTCGGTATGATCATTGTGCAACATCAATCTGACCGCACCATATTGTTCAGTAAATCCAAGCTAAACATGTTGAAGATGAACTTTTTTGTTTTGTTTTATTTTGAGTGCAAAATAACAAATTCTCTATTTCCACGATAAGTTTGTCCAAATCGGAAAATAATAATGCTTTCAACAAGATCAGCCATATTTATAATTGTATCTAATATTTGGAAATTGTCCGATGTACAATAATTGACATAATACAATTTTTTCTTCAATACGATATAATCGAAGATTCATTCAACTTTTAATAAATGCAAAGCTAATTTGTTATACTTTGAACCGTACCATTTGTACTATAAGCTAAAAAGGGCCTAACAATCTTATTAAATGGTAGATTGCCATCTTCTGCATAGGTTGTTTCACTTCCATTTGTTTGAAAAATAATTGTTCTATTTCCATTAATTACACTTACAATGTAAAAGAAAAGCGGTTTATATACTGTGTACAGTCTCATATGAATGAAAATATATGTGTTCGGTTTTATTAAATCTGGATATATATACGTCCTGATAACTTCTAAAAACGGTCGCTTTTTCAGGATAAATTCTTTTCAGCCTTTTTCTCTGCCTTATATACTGGAAGGTATTATTCGTATGTTATGCGCCCATCTATTTGATAAAATTTACTACTGTCTGCATTTTCGCTCGACACAACTATACATGAAATTTTTTGAATATTCCAGAAAATTAGTAAAATGAGTCGATTACATCTCGAAGAAATTAGTGACCAGCCTCCCGGTTGAAGAATATCTGGACAACGTAACTGTCATGCCGGTTTCAGCAAAATCCGCAAAATATGAAGCAAAGATATTCGATGAACTGTACCAGTATTGGAAAAAATCGGGTAAAGTTGGTGAAATCGTCACTGCTAGTGGTAAATTTTAACAAACGTTAACAAAATCACAACAATAGGAGAAAATGAATTTTTCATATGGGGCATGGTGTAAAACTTGGTTGTCTGGTAATGCTTCAAGAAAAATTAATTGAAATTTATGAGCTAATGAAACCCGCTTTATCACTGCCGTTTCGTTTTATGTGTTGCGGGGTGACACGACAGTAAGCCTATGACATTTGAGTCCAGAAAAATGAGCCTTGACAGATGAGCCTACCGACACTTGAGCTCTTGGCATTTGAACCCCCCGATACGTGAGTCTTCAATGTTTGAGCCTCTCACAGCTAGGCATTATCTTCAAAATAATCGACAAAATCTGTTAAAAAACAATTAACCTTGTTGGAGTTTTAGTTGTATAATCCGTTAAACTACGTACCGCTTATCGAATCAGGAGATTCATCTTGAAATCTCTCAGATTCGTCTACAACAAAAGCTTCAGGTACAAATGATAAGCAAGCAAAGCTTTTTAAGTAACGCCGAACTTCGCGATCATTAACAAATGGTTATTGCAAGCCTAAATCCTAGAGAGAAAGACGATGTTACTATGATTATTTCACGATTTTCATCTAAGTCAGCAAAAAAACGTACTTGTTTTTTTCTCCATAAAGCTTGTTCTAAATGAAAACAACATCCGCTGATTGTTATTGTTGCTAATTTTTGTTTAATAAGATGTTCGACAGCTTTCTCAGAATCAACTGTAATTAATTTTGGATGTTTGCTAACATTTTGTAACAAAACATTAAATAGTTCACCATAAACGGCTTCAGATTTACCAGGAAGAAGAGCATACACCAGTGGTACAGAACGTCCACGCATAAAACCATGTATTGTATATAATTGACAAAAAAGTTGTGGAGCTACCTAGAAAAAAAGGAAAATTATATGTTTAAGCGCTTAAGCTAACCACAAATCTACTTAAAGTTACCTTGAATGTATCATCAGCATGCCAATGTTCAGAATTTGATAAACGGTTTAAATCATCATCAGATGATAATACAATTGTTCTGTAGTCACTGTCTTCATTATCATATAATAAAGACCGATCACCACCATTGATTACTGTTGGTATGTCATCCTTTTTACATTTGCGTTCAATAGTACGATGTGATGCTGTATAACTGGGTATAGCTGTTCCATCATCTGTATGAACATCTAATAATGCTTCATTTATAATTCGTCGAGGTGAATCATGTGCTGTTATTGCACATTCACTAATTTTTTTCTATGGTCAGTTAATTTAATATATTGTGTACCATCAAAAGTTACACGACCAGAACAATCATTTTTAACACAACGCCACGTAACTTGACTTTTATTTGCCCGACGATAACGAAAATCATCAAGAAGAAGTTGATCTTTAACTATAGAAGATTTTACAATAGACATTTTTAACGAAAAGTAGGACAGTAGAATGAGTGATGTGTGTTCCTTACTCTGCATATATATATGTATATATTTACAACTCGTTAGGAAGCCAAATCAAATTTTAATCAACTAATTATTAGTGTGTATATAAAATTTTGATCAAGCAAATAGGTAGTGTTAATCAATCAATCAATTAGTGTGTTCTTTAATAGTATCGAACTCAGTAATACAATGCCTATCTGCGATAGGCTCAAATGTCGAAGGCTCACGTATCGGGAGGCTTAAATATCGGGGGCTCAAATGTCGGTAGGCTCATCTGTCGAGGCTTATTTGTTGATGTATCATATACAAGCATACTTTAAGAGTTAAGGAAACGTCAACTGTATCCGAAAATGCTGAAGGGTGACTTGTATTCGTCAAAATTTGTTTGACCGGTTCTGGGCTAAGAAAGTGTAATCAAATATGTAGTTGGCCATGAGAACGAGACTTCCATTACACTTTGGCTTTTCTGATTTGTTTTTCGCGGAGAGGGTGGCGTAGCGTGATGACACTTCCTGGAAAACTTAAGAGGGCTTCGAGAAAATTTTTCTATAAAATGTACACAGTAATGCACATAATAGCACAGTACAACCCTTCAAAGAAGAAAATTTCTATTAGGGTTGGAACCTATCACCCTAAAGAAGATAAATCCCAACAAAGATCATGTTTATCAAGACCACGTTCTATCACTGACAATAATAGAGGAGGTTGATACGTGGTTTGCTAATCAGAGACACTTACTTAAATGGATGGAAAATGAGTATTTTGAATCCGTACATGCGCATAACTGCAGACGGAAAACCAATCACACGAGTCGTTGATTATCCACAAAATAATCAAAGGTACCGAAATTAGACAAAATAAAATAAATTAGAATTTAAATGCGACAGAAGGGCAGAGCGACGTGCGACCGGCCCGACGGTCGTGCTAAAAGAAAGTTGTATCCAGTGGCAAACTATCCGTCATATGATCAGAGATGTTGGCTGACATGAGACGTCCAATCGCGAACACGAACAATGATCGAACCAAGTAAACTTCATCGTCCATCAATGTCTGTTCAATTTGGTTGTTAAGCTCGGCACAGTGGTCAGTCGACAACAGCAACCTTGTACCAATCGAGTCGACTGTGTCATGAGTTGGCTAACAGTTGTCCACCGAGAGAGCAATGACAATGAGTCGAACTTCATCACTGACCATTTCACGTGACACAAGAGGCCGATCAAATGGACAGACAGATCGATTTTCCTTGTTCCTCTCAAACCGCTTTGATTTGGTATTTTTCAGTCGATGAGTGGTTTGACGATGAGAATCTGTAGGACAAGCTGATTACACCGATTGAAATAGTCGTCGTTGCATCCGGATGATATCAAGAGACCAGAGTCTCGCTTCCTCGCCTCTCCTCTCGATGGATGTTTGAGCACAGCACCGCAGGCGATAGAACAACAAAGATGAATCACCTTTGCTCTAATCAACCCAGAGCATTGTCACGTTAGATCGGCGAGACAGAGAAAGATCAGAGCTGAATTTGTCTATTTTTTCCAATAAAACTGAGTATACATTATTCCGAAATAAATGATGAGCAATCTGGAGAAGAAGAAAATAAATAGTCTACAGAACCAGTACCATCCGAAGAAAAAGCTTACTATGAAAAATGTAGACAGTATTATTATATAACACAAATGCCTTAGTGTCTATTTCTGATGACATTTTTGATGATCAAATTGAATTAATATTAGCATCATCAGTATGTGATCAAGACTCCAATGAATTTGACAAAAAAGGATTTTTAAATGAAATTTGTAATATATTAAATATATCCGATAATAGCATTAGAAAAATCCAAAAAGGTTGTATTAAAGTGCTATTTGAGATTTTAAAAAAAGTCATGTGTATAGTCAAAAAAATCGAAATTAGAGCGCTATATAGATTAATGACGGGTAAAGCATTGGAACAACTAGGGAAATTGGAACTCTTATTCATATTTATGGGTGATATTAACGCATTAGATAAAATGCAAAAATTTCGTAATCAAATCACACTTCATCCACAATGGAATCTTATATATGATAGAAATCATACATACTGGTCTAGCACTGTACAGATGGACTTGATCGAGGTAATCAACCATATTATTGTCCTGTTGGATGGCAAAGATATTATTTTTATCTTACTGATCAATCTTATGAAAAGATTAAAGGATGGTGTATAACTTATCATGGTACAAAGTTTTCTTATGGCCTATCTATTTTATTAAGTGGATTAACAACAGCAAAAGCGACAGATCATGCTGCTGGAATATATGCTATCCCATTAATAGTTTATGCATCTCATCCAAGATATACCGAAGTTAAACAAATTGAATCAATCCATGAGAAGACATTTTTTAAAAGAGGATGTTCAATTTGTTTGACAGTGTCGTATTCATCCAAATAGTATCAAAAAGATTGGTGGTAAAACATTGAAGACGACCGTTTCTATTATTGATCCTGACATAGATAACGATGTTATTGAATGGGTTATGATGCAAAAGGCAAAGCAATCATAGATTTCAATGACCCAAATTCCACTAACCACCCCTCACTCCCCCCATAATAGAAGACCACGTGGTCTTCTATTTTGTCCGGCAAACCGAGTTCTAAAGGGTGGTCTTCTGTTGCGGTCAAATTTTGTCGCCTGCCAGTAGTCCACCGGTAAACCCCACGTACTTAAGTCCATCCCCTGTCAGAAGTATATTTTGGCGAAAATTCCTCCATAGATAGATATAGGGCATTTAGACCAGTGGTCTTCTATTTGGCTTTCAAGTCATATAATCGGCAGTGGGCGACACATTTGTGTCACATTTTCAACATGTAGTTCAACACTCATTACCAATTATGTTTCACAAAACGCCGAAAAATCTTTCAGGTCATCACAGACTGTGACAGACATGTCGACAACCACTCTCAACAGTCTTCCGCCTGTCTGTCACGGTCTGTGGGGCAGGAGGGGAAGGTGTGGTATCACTTTTCTCTTTCTATATTTTAACACTCTTTAACAGTCGTGTTTCACAAAAGGATGCAAACGTGGGTGTAATAATCACTCATCATATCAGCCGAATGACAACAAAGCACACAATCAAGCAAAACAGACACCAGCTATATATACTCTCTCAATTCAGAGAAGTGGAGACAAGAGGGAGGAGAAGAAATGTGAGGGTGGTGGAAGAAAAGAAACAAAATGTGCGAAGGAGAGAAAGAGATATGGTGGAGGTGCATCGACCATTATTAGACATAAGGTGCAACTAATTCAAAGCTTCCACAAAACTTGTTTTCTTTTTTAACACATATTCTGATTCAAAATTTTGCGCTGATCACGAATATCACCTCATATTTTCGTTTAGACCCTGTTTTCATTACGAAAAATGCAAAATACTGAGATAGGGGTTAATTTTGATGAAAATAAGGAAAAATGGGTGATTTCGCCTAGTATGGATTTTCACTCGATTTTTTGCATTTTATTCTGAAAACTAATACTACCACGAGGTTCAGCATAGTCAATAATCTATGTTTTTATTCGTTTAAGACAGTCCCAAACCGAACGGCAGGGGAGTGCTAGGGCTTCAGAAAAAATGCTCATAGCTCCCGAACCATGGATTTCTAAGAGGTTGCTTGGATCCAGTTTTGTAAAGGACACTTCAGACTATAAATTTATATCTACGAAAAAAGTTTGATTTTAAATCCAATATTTATTTTGACAGTTGTAACTCCCTTCGCATGTTTCTAGAAAACTCCTAGGAAACCTTAAGTTATTGAGATATAATTTTGGCAACCTCATACATTAGAACTACATAGTTTAGCAAGTTCAAAACAAAAACCAAGAGAAATTTTAACTTTCCAGCTCTTGCTACGATAGAAGATCTCCAGAAAACCTTGTTTTTTCCACAAAAAACGTCTCAAAATCCCTAAAAATACATTTTTCTTTTTATCAAAATAGGTTTTTGAATAGAGTGCACTGTGCTGTATTCGATGAGTGCATTGAATGAAAACTTCAATTATCACAGAATTTTTTATAAGAATAATTCCAAGGCCTATAAGCTCAAAATCCAGGTTTTTCGGAATCCTGTTAATGAAAGTCAAAATGAAAGGAAACTGATATTACCATTGGATTCGGCACGGCGAATAACCCATTGGCTCTGGCTTTTAAGTCACAACTTGTTCGTTTAAGCACTTTTCTGTTATTTGGAAATCCAGAATCATTTTTATTGCATAACTATTTCTTATCATTTAGAAACTTCCTCTACTCTTATTATTCTTACAATAGTTCGGTATGTTATGTTTCAATTTGTATCACTCTTATCTTTCTATGATTATTCTTATTCAATATACTAATTATTTATATGCAACTACTATTTTTTCAATGAAACATTAAAATTTCATCATTCAAACAAAAACTAACCGGATCATGGTAGCTATTCTCACTAAGGCGCACTGAAAAATTTCTTTATATATTATTTTTATACTACATATTTCTATCACTTGTGACCTTCGAGCAGTAAGTGCATCTTTGAAGGGCACATGTAGTCCGTAAGAAAAGAAAGTTGTATATTTTTTTATTTCAACAGTAACAGCATTAAAATGAGAGATCAACCTATGGTTTCCATAAGATATTACAGAGTAGACTTTTCTCTGCCAAATAGACTCTTCGGAATTATTTTGCATATTGAAAACTGAGCATCCTTTTAAGTTATGCAAAGTCATCGTTTTTTGAAAAATCGTGTTTTTTCTGACATAGAAACTTGTGTTCGCAAAATAACGATAACTTCTAAACCTTTTGTCCAACATCCTATTTGAGCACGTTGTTTTGCAGAGAAAACTCTGCTCTAATAGCTTACATTGTTAAAATAATTCTACTCAACGGCATTGAATTTTAGACTTGAAAAGATTCCATGTATTCCTCATTCTAGACCAAACGTGGGTGTGTTTGAAAGATTCACTTTGTGCTCGTAGGTCAGAAACGAGAAAGTTTTCGAACAGCAGCTGAGGACGTTCTTCAAATGTAGATTTCGAAGAACTTGTTACTTTTTTATAAAATATTTCTAGCACAAGAAAAATGAAATCACTTTTGCACAAGAACTTTACAACATCCATTTTTTACGGACTAGTTTTTTGTGTCAATCAAAGATGCGTTTACTGTTTACAGGTCACAACTGATAGAAAATTTGAACATACAGTTAGAAAGTTCTTGAAATATGGATTCTGAATAGCTATTTTTCATTTTTCCAAAACATGTTTTAGCAGAAGAAAAATGAAGAGATATTTTATTATCATCAAAAATTCTTGATTCTATTCCAGTCTGATTGTACTACTCTGTATATATGATGCGCAGAAAAACGCTCTTATCCCTACTGATCGATTTTACAAAAGAATCTGATAGGAAACTGATAAGAAACTTATAAGAATCCGCTACGACTCGCATAAGAATCTTATTGGATTCTTATTGAATTCTTACATAAGAAGTACGCACAAAAGTAACTAGAGTTTAACAAAAAGCAGATAAGGATCAGTTAAGAATCCTGTAAGAATTCGACAAGAACTGACAAAAACTTCTAATGTTTTTTTTCCTTCTTTAGTTAGCTGTATAGTTCATTAGTGAATGTATAAGAGGTCGCGAAGCATTTTTAAAACGACCAGTCTTACGTACCTTAAAGAAACTTTGAAAGTATTTCCAAGAAATCAGTGGTGCTTACATAGTAAGTGCTTCTGCAAAATACAACGGTGATTGGCTTTTAGTAAGAATTTCATAAGAAAGTGATAGGAACTCTTATCAAAGGCATAGCTCATTCTTATTTAAATCTTACCCAATTCCTATCGCATTCGTACGAAATTCTTGCCATGTTCGTGCAGACTTCTTAAGTAAGAATCTGATAAGACTCGAATAAGATAATAGACAGATTAATCATTCTTCATGCTTGGCTATTTAATATGAACGTGGACATGCAAAATAAAATCGAAAGAGAAAAAATATATTCGTTAAGGTTCGTTTATGTTTTTATTTGCTATTCTACGATACGATTGAACTGTTGTTTTGCAGAGTTGACTGAGAAACATCAGTATATGTTTGACATTGAGAAGATGCTTCGATTGAACGCCAAAAACCCTGGAATAATTTTGATGCAATTTTCCGTTCGACAAAATGTATACGAGAATCCGATATTAACTTTATCATTTTTTAAAACTTTGATCTGTACGTGAACGAACCAATGCCTTTTGATTGCACCACAGATCTTCAATTGCGTTTAGTTCACAATGATATTTAGGGCAGTATATAATCTTAACATTATATTTGATCGCTAGCATCTGAAGTTTCGTAACCTCGACAATACAGTAAACTTTATAGGATGAAATGTCTTTCAAAATATGGAATGACTTTCACTTACACTTTGAAAAGCTCGATGTTTTGAAAGTATTTCACGAATTTCATCTAATTTGACCTTAGCTGGTAATTGTACACCTAATTCTTTACATAGTTCAACTAAACCTTTCGATCTATCTTTGTTTACACTGTGTTTAAAATAACAATCAACAACTTTTTTGTTGCACCATTTTCATCAACATATTCGATTTTTTCAACGGAACATCGAGTACTAATATTTTTACCAAACTCTTGTAATGAATATGCTTTAGTAGTGTGGGTCCTTGCGTTGTTTACCATGATTTCTATTTGATTACCCTTATAGTCTCGTTTGAATTCCAGCAGTCTTTCAAACTGTTCTAGACTCGTATCATTATCGAAATAAGCATCTGTTCCAATATTAATACTAACTGTTGCTGTTCGACTAAGATAATTAACATCACCATCGGCACTTAATGATTTATAAAACTAATTTCGTAGAAATTTTAAGAAAAAAGACAAGTGCTATTCTTTAGCTGAATCTACAAATGCAACTTGCATGCGGTCACTATTTTATCGATCATGTTCACAATGCAAAAGTTAGATGTCACGTAATGTGTTTCATTGGAGTTGCCGCGAAGTTTTTATCCAGTGGAATATATTAGATGACATGCAACTTTTGTAGTGTGAACATGGTCTAACTCGTTAATCTTTCTTTGTGAAAAACGTTGTATATCGGCTTGTCCAAATGTTACGGAATTACTTTTTTTCAACTTTCACGTGCCATAACTTTTCTGAGAATGATCCAAATGCAATGACGCTTTTACCAGAGGTAGACAGTACCGAGTTTTATCACGTCCGAAAATTTCGTTGAGTTTGGATCATCCCATAGGGAATTATTAAAAAAATAACGGCCGTTACGGAATTACCGAAAACGGACTTTTTTTTCAGTGATGTCTAAGTTTTACATTTTTCTGTTCAATGAAAGGTTTTTTTGAGATGTGTTCTGAAGCAAAGTTGTGTAGCTTGAAACCAGCTTTCAGAATATCCACTTGGTTTTCGATTAGAATCGCTAGATGATATAAAAATTTGAAAAAACAGTCCGTTACGGAATTACCTTCGTTTGGTTCTTTCAAATCAGAAGGTTAAACTCCATTACAAAAGTCGTCATAGAAAAATATTTCCGATAGCAGTAGATAGGATCTGATCTGATCTTTCCGATGCACTGTAGAAAAGCGTTCTGAAATCGTTCTGACTTGGAGAAAAATCCGTTTCAAAACTTTGTCTTTCGAAAAACCAACTTTCTTGGAAAGCACCTAAAGTCAAAAATAAATACACTATCTTGTGAAGAATTTAATTCTCTACAAAATATCATATCTTCTAATTTTTTTCGCGAAAATATCTAGGTCAGGAAATTAAAAATAAAATTTGGATTTCATTTTTTGAGGTCAAAATTTAATTTTTTGGAAATTTTAAGTTGATATTCGAAATCAGCTTCAAAAACTACGTTAGACGATGTGCTTCACAAATTCTTAAAGTTAAACAAAAGTTTTCGAACCATCTTAAGTGAAGGTGACCGTTAGCTGGACAGGCCGATATGCGTTACTTTTTCTATTTTTATTTGCTGATGAACTAGCCTATTTTAATTGTTGTATATCAAAGGAGAAAAAGCCTACAGAAAATCATACTCCCAGAACATAAAGGTATGTTGTAAAAGAATAAGAAGACTCAAAAATAATAAATCTTTTTATCATATTCTGATCTATCCTGCAGAACTGGATAAGTTTTTGAATTTTACTCTGTTCTGTTCCTTTTCAGGACGAAGTCAGTAAATTTTTAAGCAGGTTTCTTTCAAGATTTAAATATTCTAAGCAGTTTTCTTTTAAAGCAAGACTGAATTTCCATCTATCAAACTCTATTTACTTCAACCCAAAGCCTTGTAATATAAAAATACATTTGCTGAAGCCATGATACAGTGTATTCTACTTATCTTATCTGATTTATGTACATGACAGAAATTGTATTCCCTGTCAAACACAGAAAGAGAAAACACAAATGCTTTACTCTAAAAATGGAAGTCGATGTCTTACTCTGAAAATAGAAGGAATAGAAAACAGAATATCTTACTTTTGAAAAGAAAGTAAATTCCTAACTACGAAACTGAGAGTCAGCCTTTTACTCGCAAAATGGGAATAAGCATGGGAACAAGCGCTTTACTTCGAAACTGAGAGTAAGCCTTTTATACTCTAAAAATGAGAGTAATTGTTTTACTCTGAAAATACGAGTAAACCGTAGGATATTCTCGTAAGTCAAAGACTTACTTAATTTTTCGAGTAAGAAAATGCTGATTTCGGAGTAATTTTTTTCAAAAAGCAGGGGGGGAATAATCCATCCCCTCCTCCTCTTATCGGGGGTTCCCTGGTTACAGGGCGTTCTGATTAATAGCTAGTTTCTGAAAGTTCTCAAAGTCGAACAGTTCACAGTGGGCATATAGGCGAACATTTGATCGAAAATCGAAAGTGAGCTTTTCTGTAATTTAAATAGCATCTAATATACCGCGTGAAATGTGCTATCGAATGGCGTAAAAAGTTTTATTCTATGACTTTTCCTTATGGAATTGTTCGAGGAAGAAAACACGATGATAGAAGGAAAACGCTTGGAAAACAGATGTGTTCAGTATAGTCAAAAGGCGCGAGTTAGCGGAGGTGCAAATCTTACTTATTTTTTCACCAAAATGTTCCTTAGTATATCCTGTATCTGTAGTATACTCACAAAATGTTACAACTTTTTCTGCCGATAGTTACAGGTTTTCTAAAAACTTTTTGCTTTTCAGGATACTTTGGGACTTTTCTACCCTTATATGTAACTTTGCTTGAATAATTCATATATATTTGAATTTCGCGCGAAAAACTGCGTCGAATCATATGTCTAAGAATCATTTTTGAAGAAAAAAGTTTTTCGACAAAAATTTAGGACAAGGGTCCTGTCAGGTATTTTCCGTTTAAAAAGTTTCTTTTCCAAATTCGACAAAAAGGTTTGCATACGGTTATTCTAAATTTTTCCTCTGTTAGCGCTCCATACTCCCTAAAGTTGTTTTTTTTCTTTCTTGATGCTCAAAGGTCTCTCTCTCGTCGCCGTCTTGCTTTTTTCCTGATGCAACACAACATTTCTTTTTCACTTGTTTTTTCTCTTGATTCCTGACATTTTTATGTTTTCGCTTTCTAGCGTGTGTATAGAAGTCTTGGTTCCTATTTTCTCCTTCTAGTGTTTTTTCTTGAGCATCGTAATGGGGCCTGGCCTCGGTTTTGTTCTCTAGTTATATTTTACAATAAAGGTTATAACAACAACACTTTGCATTCTATGCACGGGGAAAAAAATCACCAAAACAAAAGAAATCAAAGTCACAAACTACAGAAATTGAGTTGAAAATTTGGTAAAACAGGTTGAGAAGTAATGACCTACGATAACGGCAGTGATAAAGCGGGTTTCATTAGCTCGTAAATTTCAATTAATTTTTCTTGAAGCATTACCAAACGACCAAGTTTTACACCATGCCCCATATGAAAAATTCATTTTCTCCTATTGTTGTGACTTTGTTAACGTTTGTTAAAATTTACCACTAGCAGTGACGATTTCGCCAACTTTACCCGATTTTTTCCAATACTGGTACAGTTCATCGAATATCTTTGCTTCATATTTTGCGGATTTTCCTGAAACCGGAATGCTGGTCACTAATTTCTTCGAGATGTAATCCACTCATTTTAGTAATTTTCTAGAATATTTAAAAATTTCATATGTAGTTGTGTCGAGCGAAAATGCAGACAGTAGTAAATTTTATCAAAAGAATTTATCCTAAACGACCGTTTTTATAAGTTATCAGGACGTATATATATTAGAATTTATGCAAATAAGACGTATGAAACTATACTAAATAAACGTAAGTGAGTGACCAAAGTAATTCCTTATGTGCACTTGGAGTGGCACTCTACCTTTACTTTGCTCGTAACTACTATCGCCGCCAAAATTTAGTGTCCGCCGGTATCTTTTGAATAACTTTTTAACCAAAATTTTCTTTTGTTTTTTCCTATGGTGCTAGTGACTTCAGTACGATGATCAGCGCACCCGAATACCTATATATCCACACTTTTTACGACTAAAAACTCGAATTTCGGGAAAAGTGAGCCATTTTTACAACGCTTGTATCTTGGCAAGGAAGCAAAATTTTTGGGTTGCTTACACACCATTCGAACGTGGAGCTCTACCAATTGAAATGAACAATTTGAATGAGAAAGAGGAAGAAGAGGAGGTGGGAGAGAGTTTGAACCTCCGCTCGCGCTCTTCTTCTGCTACTACAATTTCATCTTCTGTTAGCCCAAAAACATATCCCACAACAGAACTTCTACTTCATCGACTACTCGGTCTATATCCAGATTTTCCTATCACTTCCACAACCTCTCTATGGCGTCAGCTCAAACGCATCGGCTTCTCTTACAAAGCTTCTTCCAAAGTAGCAGTGCCTCTTGATAGTGTCTCCTTCATGGCTCAACGAGCCTAAAGTTAGATGAGCTGAGAGAAAATAAGATCCTAATGTTTTATCATGATGAGACATGGACTAGTGCAGGGGATAGGAAACGATCAGTGCCGGTTGACGAAGAAGGTGCTGGTCGCTTGCGCAAAACAGATGGAAAAGGGAGGTCAGTGTTTAGATGAAAAGAGCATGTCTAATGCGATTTTTTAAAAATGTTTAGGAAAACGGGTAGCCATAAGTGACATGATCAATGAAGAAGGCTTTGACTTGACTTCTATCGACGTATTTGACTCTAATGCTGATCATACAATGAACTCAGCTCACTTCGTCGATTGGATCAGCAAAACGTCTTACTCTTCACGTCAAAAGCTAGGTGCTGCATCGCGTATTTTCATAATCATAGACAATGCCGCTTGGCATAATGAGCTTACTGATGAAACGAAGCCTCCTGAACGAGGCGCAAAGATCAGCTGTAAGGCTGGCTTCAACTACACAATATCACCTTCGATTCTAAGTTCAAAAAGGCCGAACATCTACAAGCAGCCTTTTGCATGTGTCTAAAATTTTTATATGTCCGTATACAATTACACATGTTTCATGGAAGTCTTTAATGCTGTCCTGTCAATACAACTAAAGAAAATACAATGTTTTTCCGGCTTTTACCTCAAACTGGCCTGATATTTCTCGACTTTTATTTGACAGAAACATTTTTATTCAAAACCAATGTTAGTTTCGAAACCAAATCTGTGACTTATTACTTCCATGAACTAAACAAACATGCCTCTTACATCGAATAGGATAATCACACCATCGAAGCTATACGTTGAGTGTATCATACGCTCTTTTCTCTGCCACGAAAAAGATAGTTAACATACGAGGCTCTTTTACTAAACAAGAAAACAACACAAAAAAAAGTGCACTGTTTAACAAAAAATAAAAAAATGTTTAACACCATATACCGATACATTCACAAATAAATCTACAAACGTTTCTGAACGTACGCAAATTGAACAAAAGAAGAACAAATAAAACAAAATAAAAAATGACATTTTTCCAAACCAATGTCTTCCAAGGTTGATTTGGTGTCATATAATGTGTGGCTAGTACACCACAGAATACATTCAGTTGCAGAGCAAACAAAAAAGCTAAAAGTAAAAGAACAAAAGAGAAAACTTTAGAAAAAGAACAGTGATACAACCTGTGTTAGTGAACGGAGCATCCTTCATTTAATTTTTAATTCATACTTAAATAACAAGTAACGTTCATCATTCTGATTCACTTATCCCTTGACTAGAAAGGAATCGCCAATATAAAGTTGTTTCTATAGAATAAAATAATTATCTTTCTTGTTCTCATTACTTTCTGAAGAACATTCTCAAGCAGCAGCAGCAAGCTAAAACTTTTTCCACCTTCCCCACAAGAAGTAGAAAGTGAATGAAAAACATCTCATGATGAATGAGATGCTCTACTTTTTGTTGTAATTTTCTAATAAATACTTGTTCGAATGAAGATATTCTTAGCGGGAAATCTCTTTTCATGGATTAGGAAAGAATGTTGGAAGGAAACCGAGATCGCCACTGTGATCGGCATATTGATTATCCCTATATTGAATTGATTTTTGTTCAAAAAACATAGAAAAAGTTCACATATATGGATCCAGGGCATGCCTGTAGGTCCGAAACGGTAATAGTTATAGACCTACGGATGGTCTTAAATGAAAGAGGATATGTGCCTCTATCATGTTATACGGTGTACAGCATGTCCGAATATTATACCGATTAATAAAGTTATCTTTTCTCTTTCTAACAGTGCAAACCGCACCTCTGTAGCTGCTTCCATTAAAGAGTTATTCAAGTTACAACCAACTCCATTGTCCTATGAAATGGAGAGTAGTTACTTCGTTTCCAGTAACGAGTTTCCTCTCCAGGCAGTCCATTTCCAAGAGTTATGTTCCGAATGGAAAATATTTCCCGTTCAACAAAAATGTATTTCCCGATTGAGAAATATGTCCTCATAGGGAAAGTGGAATCTATTCCATTCGGGAAATTTTTCGACATGTCTACTTTGAAATCCTTCAGTGTATTTTATAACGCTCTGCGCATGTTCTGGTTGGTTCCATCGGAAGAGCACAAACAACTGCATTGATTGAGACGCGCTTCTAGCAGATCTGATATTATAGAAATGTTGAATAGAAGTAGAATCAAAATCTTTCCCGATCGGGATAGACATTTTCGTCATATGTTAGAGTAAAGGAAAAGGAAGATGGAAGAAAGAAAAAGAAAAGGCTAAGAAAAGGAAGGAGACGGAATTATAAACCCTTGTCATCGACTTCTAGAAGCGTGAGAAAGATTTATTGATTAGCCTTCAAGTGATTAGTATATTGAATATAACTAGGTCCAGTGCGTATGTTTTTCAAAATAAAAAATAA